GGGGGGGGGGGGGGGGGGGGACGGAGGTTTTGGAAGTAAGCGTCAGAAACCTCAGGTATGACAAGTTACTTAAAGGTGTAAGGTAGTTTATGGATTTCTGTTTTCTTTCAAACATCAAATATGCAGTTGATGTTTTTTCGTTTCAGCAGAAATGATGCGCTCACTAAATTGTGTGTTCGTATAGCAGATGAGGCCGACGACGACTTGTATACCAAAATGTTAACTGTCACACAGATACCGGAAAGTTTCGTCGCATGCTCTAAGTAATTTTTTGTCTTCGCACTTTTTGGCATTGAAAGTGACCCAGTTATGCTTTTTTTTTTTAGTGAAAAAAGGAATGCAGATAAATTGACCCTGGTCAAATATGCTTTATTTGGAAGGGGTTTTGGATTTTTATGGATGCTAGCACATATTCAGTGCTACTCTTTGCTATTCTTTCGAAGTTTATTGTATTGGGTTTTAGGTATATGCAATCAAAACTTACTGGTGATGAGCCGGGAATGTGCAGATACGCGCTGCAAAGTGGCATGCTTGATGAAGCACATGCAGTTTTCTGCGAACATGTTGCGCCATATACAGTTGTTACAGGTAGTGAATTCGTATCATTTTTTATTAGAATTATCTTATCGTTCTTTTTTTGTTTATCATTATGGTCTGGAATAGGCTGGAACAACTGCTGATTCATAATCTGTCACAATCTGTACAGCCGGTTGCTTTTATACTTGCTATGACCAGTGCTGCATCGCGAGAAGCCGTTCTGGTGTCCGTTAAGAATTTGATAAAAATTGCTTCAGCAATTTTGTCAAGAATTCTTTGTTTCTGGAAAAAGATGATCATATATTTTGCTAGCCCTTACCACAATGGCTGCTGAAACGTCCTGGATCCGGTTTTTGAGCTTTTATTTAGGAAACGCGCATGAAATCGGAAATTCATTTACAGATGATTACGACTTGCTGGATGAGTTTGGTGCGCTTTTCGATAGAGTGAGTGATAAAATACCGGCATGGGGCCCAGGAGGACAACTTTTCACCGACTTTTGTCAATTAAAAAAGCGATTGAACGAAGTGGAGGACGATCAAGAGGTATACGTTTTGATTGATTTTGACTTTTTTTTTTCAACTGGATAGTTTCAGAAAATGCATTTTGAAGACATTTATTATTGTTGAAAAAAAAGGAGGTCTCTCTTCACTTGCTATTGCGAAAAAAAGATGTTATGAGTTGTGGTGCAGTAATTTGTTTCTTGCAGATGAAAGAAATCGTTGAATTAGCACGTTCTGTTGAGCAACGGCTGCTCACTACGCCACTGATCAATCAGATGCAGAGGTTCGTACTTTTCGCTTATTTTTGCTTATTTTGCCTTAGCTAATACGGCTTGCTGCTAAGATGCATTGCTTTACAGCTCTAACCAAGCGCATATGATAAATAAAAGCAAAACGTCAAAAAATGGCATTAAGGGAAGGTGGGGCGGGTAGGGAATAGTACAGCTTCATTGATTTAAGCCATTATTGGCCATCTAGTGAAATATAAAATATTAGCGTTTTTTGTATTACAGCAATGTTTTTGGGAAATTTTGCGGTAATTTGG